TGACGGCGTGGTATGGCGAGCATGGCGGTGTGTCGTGAGGAGGAGAGCGTGATGGCGTGGTATGGTGAGCATGGCGGTGTGTGGTGAGGAGAGTGTGACGGCGTGGTATGGCGAGCATGGCGGTGTGTCGTGAGGAGGAGAGCGTGATGGCGTGGTATGGTGAGCATGGTGGTGTGTGGTGAGGAGAGTGTGACGGCGTGGTATGGCGAGCATGGTGGTGTGTGGTGCGGAGGAGAGTGTGACGGCGTGGTATGGCGAGCATGGCGGTGTGTGGTGCGGAGGAGAGTGTGACGGCGTGGTATGGCGAGCATGGCGGTGTGTGGTGCGGAGGAGAGTGTGACGGCGTGGTATGGCGAGCATGGTGGTGTGTGGTGCGAAGGAGAGCGTGACGGCGTGGTATGGCGAGCATGGCGGTGTGTGGTGCGGAGGAGAGTGTGACGGCGTGGTATGGCGAGCATGGCGGTGTGTGGTGCGGAGGAGAGTGTGACGGCGTGGTATGGCGAGCATGGTGGTGTGTGTGGTGAGGAGGAGAGCGTGACGGCGTGGTATGGCGAGCATGGCGGTGTGTGGGGTGTGGAGGAGAGCGTGACGGCGTGGTATGGCGAGCATGGCGGTGTGTGGTGAGGAGAGTGTAACGGCGTGGTATGGCGAGCATGGCGATGTGTGTGGTGTGGAGGAGAGTGTGACGGCGTGGTATGGCGAGCATGGCGGTGTGTGTGGTGTGGTGGAGAGCGTGACGGCGTGGTATGGCGAGCATGGCGGTGTGTGGTGAGGAGAGTGTGACGGCGTGGTATGGCGAGCATGGCGATGTGTGTGGTGTGGAGGAGAGTGTAGCGGCGTGGTATGGCGAGCATGGTGGTGTGTGGTGAGGAGAGTATGACGGCGTGGTATGGCGAGCATGGTGGTGTGTGGTGAGGAGGAGAGTGTGACGGTGTGGTATGGCGAGCATGGTGGTGTGTGGTGAGGAGAGTGTGACGGCGTGGTATGGCGAGCATGACGGTGTGTGTGGTGCGGAGGAGAGTGTGACGGCGTGGTATGGCGAGGATGGCGGTGTGTGTGGTGAGGAGGAGAGTGTGACGGCGTGGTATGGTGAGCATGGCGGTGTGTGTGGTGCTGAGGAGAGTGTGACGGCGTGGTATGGCGAGCATGGCGGTGTGTGGTGCGGAGGAAAGTGTGACGGCGTGGTATGGCGAGCATGGTGGTGTGTGTGGTGAGGAGGAGAGTGTGACGGCGTGGTATGGCGAGCATGGTGGTGTGTGGTGCGGAGGAGAGTGTGACGGCGTGGTATGGCGAGCATGGTGGTGTGTGGTGAGGAGAGTGTGACGGCGTGGTATGGCGAGCATGGCGGTGTGTCGTGAGGAGGAGAGCGTGATGGCGTGGTATGGTGAGCATGGCGGTGTGTGGTGAGGAGAGTGTGACGGCGTGGTATGGCGAGCATGGCGGTGTGTCGTGAGGAGGAGAGCGTGATGGCGTGGTATGGTGAGCATGGTGGTGTGTGGTGAGGAGAGTGTGACGGCGTGGTATGGCGAGCATGGTGGTGTGTGGTGCGGAGGAGAGTGTGACGGCGTGGTATGGCGAGCATGGCGGTGTGTGGTGCGGAGGAGAGTGTGACGGCGTGGTATGGCGAGCATGGCGGTGTGTGGTGCGGAGGAGAGTGTGACGGCGTGGTATGGCGAGCATGGTGGTGTGTGGTGCGAAGGAGAGCGTGACGGCGTGGTATGGCGAGCATGGCGGTGTGTGGTGCGGAGGAGAGTGTGACGGCGTGGTATGGCGAGCATGGCGGTGTGTGGTGCGGAGGAGAGTGTGACGGCGTGGTATGGCGAGCATGGTGGTGTGTGTGGTGAGGAGGAGAGCGTGACGGCGTGGTATGGCGAGCATGGCGGTGTGTGTGGTGTGGAGGAGAGCGTGACGGCGTGGTATGGCGAGCATGGCGGTGTGTGGTGAGGAGAGTGTAACGGCGTGGTATGGCGAGCATGGCGATGTGTGTGGTGTGGAGGAGAGTGTGACGGCGTGGTATGGCGAGCATGGCGGTGTGTGTGGTGTGGTGGAGAGCGTGACGGCGTGGTATGGCGAGCATGGCGGTGTGTGGTGAGGAGAGTGTGACGGCGTGGTATGGCGAGCATGGCGATGTGTGTGGTGTGGAGGAGAGTGTAGCGGCGTGGTATGGCGAGCATGGCGGTGTGTGGTGCGGAGGAGAGTGTGACGGCGTGGTATGGCGAGCATGGCGGTGTGTGGTGCGGAGGAAAGTGTGACGGCGTGGTATGGCGAGCATGGTGGTGTGTGTGGTGAGGAGGAGAGTGTGACGGCGTGGTATGGCGAGCATGGTGGTGTGTGGTGCGGAGGAGAGTGTGACGGCGTGGTATGGCGAGCATGGTGGTGTGTGGTGAGGAGAGTGTGACGGCGTGGTATGGCGAGCATGGCGGTGTGTCGTGAGGAGGAGAGCGTGATGGCGTGGTATGGTGAGCATGGCGGTGTGTGGTGAGGAGAGTGTGACGGCGTGGTATGGCGAGCATGGCGGTGTGTCGTGAGGAGGAGAGCGTGATGGCGTGGTATGGTGAGCATGGTGGTGTGTGGTGAGGAGAGTGTGACGGCGTGGTATGGCGAGCATGGCGGTGTGTCGTGAGGAGGAGAGCGTGATGGCGTGGTATGGTGAGCATGGCGGTGTGTGGTGAGGAGAGTGTGACGGCGTGGTATGGCGAGCATGGCGGTGTGTCGTGAGGAGGAGAGCGTGATGGCGTGGTATGGTGAGCATGGTGGTGTGTGGTGAGGAGAGTGTGACGGCGTGGTATGGCGAGCATGGTGGTGTGTGGTGCGGAGGAGAGTGTGACGGCGTGGTATGGCGAGCATGGCGGTGTGTGGTGCGGAGGAGAGTGTGACGGCGTGGTATGGCGAGCATGGCGGTGTGTGGTGCGGAGGAGAGTGTGACGGCGTGGTATGGCGAGCATGGTGGTGTGTGGTGCGGAGGAGAGCGTGACGGCGTGGTATGGCGAGCATGGCGGTGTGTGGTGCGGAGGAGAGTGTGACGGCGTGGTATGGCGAGCATGGCGGTGTGTGGTGCGGAGGAGAGTGTGACGGCGTGGTATGGCGAGCATGGTGGTGTGTGTGGTGAGGAGGAGAGCGTGACGGCGTGGTATGGCGAGCATGGCGGTGTGTGTGGTGTGGAGGAGAGCGTGACGGCGTGGTATGGCGAGCATGGCGGTGTGTGGTGAGGAGAGTGTAACGGCGTGGTATGGCGAGCATGGCGATGTGTGTGGTGTGGAGGAGAGTGTGACGGCGTGGTATGGCGAGCATGGCGGTGTGTGTGGTGTGGTGGAGAGCGTGACGGCGTGGTATGGCGAGCATGGCGGTGTGTGGTGAGGAGAGTGTGACGGCGTGGTATGGCGAGCATGGCGATGTGTGTGGTGTGGAGGAGAGTGTAGCGGCGTGGTATGGCGAGCATGGCGGTGTGTGGTGCGGAGGAGAGTGTGACGGCGTGGTATGGCGAGCATGGCGGTGTGTGGTGCGGAGGAAAGTGTGACGGCGTGGTATGGCGAGCATGGTGGTGTGTGTGGTGAGGAGGAGAGTGTGACGGCGTGGTATGGCGAGCATGGTGGTGTGTGGTGCGGAGGAGAGTGTGACGGCGTGGTATGGCGAGCATGGTGGTGTGTGGTGAGGAGAGTGTGACGGCGTGGTATGGCGAGCATGGCGGTGTGTCGTGAGGAGGAGAGCGTGATGGCGTGGTATGGTGAGCATGGCGGTGTGTGGTGAGGAGAGTGTGACGGCGTGGTATGGCGAGCATGGCGGTGTGTCGTGATGAGGAGAGCGTGATGGCGTGGTATGGTGAGCATGGTGGTGTGTGGTGAGGAGAGTGTGACGGCGTGGTATGGCGAGCATGGTGGTGTGTGGTGCGGAGGAGAGTGTGACGGCGTGGTATGGCGAGCATGGCGGTGTGTGGTGCGGAGGAGAGTGTGACGGCGTGGTATGGCGAGCATGGCGGTGTGTGGTGCGGAGGAGAGTGTGACGGCGTGGTATGGCGAGCATGGCGGTGTGTGGTGCGGAGGAGAGCGTGACGGCGTGGTATGGCGAGCATGGCGGTGTGTGGTGCGGAGGAGAGTGTGACGGCGTGGTATGGCGAGCATGGCGGTGTGTGGTGCGGAGGAGAGCGTGACGGCGTGGTATGGCGAGCATGGCGGTGTGTGGTGCGGAGGAGAGTGTGACGGCGTGGTATGGCGAGCATGGCGGTGTGTGGTGCGGAGGAGAGCGTGACGGCGTGGTATGGCGAGCATGGCGGTGTGTGGTGCGGAGGAGAGTGTGACGGCGTGGTATGGCGAGCATGGCGGTGTGTGGTGCGGAGGAGAGCGTGACGGCGTGGTATGGCGAGCATGGCGGTGTGTGGTGCGGAGGAGAGTGTGACGGCGTGGTATGGCGAGCATGGCGGTGTGTGGTGCGGAGGAGAGTGTGACGGCGTGGTATGGCGAGCATGGTGGTGTGTGTGGTGAGGAGGAGAGCGTGACGGCGTGGTATGGCGAGCATGGCGGTGTGTGTGGTGTGGAGGAGAGCGTGACGGCGTGGTATGGCGAGCATGGCGGTGTGTGGTGAGGAGAGTGTAACGGCGTGGTATGGCGAGCATGGCGATGTGTGTGGTGTGGAGGAGAGTGTGACGGCGTGGTATGGCGAGCATGGCGGTGTGTGTGGTGTGGTGGAGAGCGTGACGGCGTGGTATGGCGAGCATGGCGGTGTGTGGTGAGGAGAGTGTGACGGCGTGGTATGGCGAGCATGGCGATGTGTGTGGTGTGGAGGAGAGTGTAGCGGCGTGGTATGGCGAGCATGGCGGTGTGTGGTGCGGAGAGTGTGACGGCGTGGTATGGCGAGCATGGCGGTGTGTGGAGAGAAGAGTGTGACGGCGTGGTATGGCGAGCATGGCGGTGTGTGGTGCGGAGGAGAGTGTGACGGCGTGGTATGGCGAGCATGGCGGTGTGTGTGGTGCGGAGGAGAGCGTGACGGCTCGGTGGGTGCGGTACCTGCGAGGACGTACAGGTGGTTGCCCGCCTCGCCCTCCCGGACGACGGCCTGCTCGGGCGAGTACGCGCGCTCGTACATGCACTCCACCATGCGGGTCACACGCCCGTCCTCCAGCCGCCGCAGGAACTCGTTCTTGGCCAGAGCGGCTTTGATGAGCCTCTGCGAGCTGCACGAGACAGTAGCGCACGGACGACATCGCAGCGATCGCGACGATCGTGACGATGACGGGAGCTCTCTCCCGTGCGTGTTGCCTACCCGGCCCGGTGCCTTCATCGCGAGAGCGAGCGTCCCGCAATCGGAAGGCCGCGAGTTCAAATCCTGGTTGTGGTGGTTGACTCAGCCCATCGTCCCTCCGGGGTTGAGAAAATATGTACCAACTTGTGGCGAAATCAACGGCTGGTTGGCATATGGGTGGACTTGCCCCTCTGTCTTATGCATGTGGATATGTCCACCGCTGGCTCATGGCTATAAACAGGAGATCTCAGCACCAATGCTGAAATTATCATTTGGGCAGGAAGTCACCTTGACATTAATGTGTGCTTCACTGGATTCATTTCCAGAAGTAGTTCGCAGCACGTGGAGAGAAACGTCCGACATTGTGCTGAACAACACGTGCTACAACCGGGACCCACATCCAAGAGAGGGCTACAGCAACAACCACTACATCCCAAGAACTGTACACGTATGACTGGGTCTAATTAAGCGTGAAGTAGCCGAGTGCTGAGTATGGCTGAACAATTGATCAATTTCCAATCGAAATCGCAATTTGAAACAATGCGATTAGTAAATCGCAAAGGCTGCGATTTTTTGCGATTTGAAAAGGCCTATTACTTGTTTATTGGAATTTTTAATTATTATAACTTTAGTTATTGAACTTAACAATTGTTCTATGTTTGATTGTTCTATTTCAATTCAAACATTTTAATAAATACATGTTGGAAGCAATTCATATCTTTTAAGTTCTCATCATTGCATTAAAATATGTAGAGCAGTTCATATTTTGATGGTATCATGTGGTAATGCTCCATCACATGTTTTAAATCTTATTACACAGTGAATATTGAACTGAAGCTTGACTTAAAAAATATTTAATCGCAAATCCAATCGCAATATCTGTCAGAAAAATTGCAATTCGATATTTTCCCCGAATCGTTCAGCTCGAGTGCTGAGGTTCCATTGGCTGAAGCGGCGACCTCTGCTGGCGAGCCAACATCAAAGCACTGGGCACTGGAAACTCCTGAAGCAACAGAAGTAGCCTGCAGCGAAACGAGGAAAATCTGGTGGCGTTCGGGCGGTAGGCATGGTCACAACTGATGGACGAAGGGATGGGAGAACAGGCAGACAGACAGAGAGAAAGACGGGCGGATAGATTGACGGACAATCGTATGGAATTTAGGACTGATGGCAGGAAGAGGGACTCATGGACGTATGGGGAGATGGACAAATGCACGGAGGGACGGACAAACGGACAAAGAACAGAAAGATGAACGGATAAAGAGACGAGGGACGGATGGAGGGCCAGGAAAATTGATGGGACGAACAGACAACCATTGGACAAGGCGATGAAGCGACAGTTGGAGTGATTGACAGAGGGACGAACGGATGAGAGCCCGACCCAGAGGCTCGCGTGGGGCCTCACCAGGGGTTCTTGTGGACGCGGGCCCAGCAAGCGGCGCCCCCCAGCTGCTGCCGCGGGAGGCTGGAACTGGACGCCGGCTCCGCCGAGACTCCGGCTTTGGCCAGCGGCCGGGGGCCCGGCTCCCTCTGTACCGCGTGCAGGAGGCTGGGGAGGCAACCCGACCCCGGGAGCAATGACGGGGGTCCGAGGGGACCTGTCGGGGCCCCGGACGCGTGGCCGATCGCCTCCTGCAACTTGCGCACCTGTGGAAGGGTCAAGGGTCACGGTTACGTTCGTAGGCGTAGGTCAGGAACCTTGGTGCCGTACTGCTTTCTGGAGACGCCGTCTCGCTCGGCTCACCTGTACCGTACGGTGTCTGAGCTCGGCCTCCAACCCCAGGACTCGCACCTCTAGGTCCCGCACCTGTAAATATAAAATACAATTCGGTTGTCACCGTACAGCAGAGATCACAGAGGGAGTACATGACGAGCGGGAACAACACAGCCTGGGAATGGGGGAGGGGAGTGCCGTCTAGAGCTACTTGGGCTCACTGCCCCAACGCTGCAGGGGAACGGTCCGATGTGTGGGGTGCAAGCAGATGAGTGACGAAGGGAGAGAGTGGCACGGAGGGCAATAATGTAACCGAAGTGCACAGGGGCGTATAAAGTAACAAAAGCGCGATGCTCGGCTTCGTTGTTTTCTTTACTTTTGAATGAGCGCCCACAAAGGCAGTTGCAGCAGCGGCCCAGCGCAGTGCCGGACTAAGCTAGCGCGGGGCCTGTAGCATGGTGTTATAAAGGGGCCCTAAATAAAAAAAACAAATACATTTTAAAACACCAATGTTTAACTTGCGCAGTAAAGTAGTTGTATTTGTTCATTTGCTATTGAGCCCAGATAATACGACAAATCGTTAACCTTAAACACCCAGTCGTCCATAAAAGTTGAAGGCAGTATAGTACTACAGTAATAGAGCAAGTGCAGAATCACTGAACCGGAATTGAGAGCTTGAAAGCATCTGGCGTGGGGCCCTTGAAAGTGCGGGGCCCGTAGCACATGTAGCTACTTTTGCTACGAGGATAATCCGGCACAGACTCCAGCTAGAGAACAACCTCGGAGTGCCGTGGCGAATGAGGATTCACGCGTGGCAGAAAATAAAAACGAAAATAAAACCCGAAAGTTAGGGGGTGGGGGGGGGGTCACCTGTGCCTCTCTTTGTCGCAGCTCGGCACGCAGCAGCGTCCCCTGTGGGCTCCCGGGCCCCCCCGTGGGGGGCGGCGGCGGGGGGGGTCCAGAGGGGGCCATGGAGGCCGCGTCGGGGTCACGCAGGGGATGCGTCTTCACGCTGCCGTTCCCCATTGGTCCTCTTCCCCTCCACCCCCAACGGGATAAGCCCCCCTCCCAATCCCCCTTCTCGTGGGTTGACGGGGACTCCGATTTGTTCAGCTGCTGTGGGTTGTGGGGGTCCCGGTGAGACACAGCCACACACCTACACACACAGACGTCACCCGAGTGGTCAGGTTGTGAATGTTGTGCCTTGTCTCTCAAACACAACCGCTGTCCTGTACGAGTATGCTACACTATACACTACACTCGTTCCGTTTACGTGTCAAGCCTGACTAATTGGCTGTGTAGGGTGGTGGCGGGCTTAACGACACATTTATCTACTTAGGCGATCTAACCCAAAAAAAAACCTGTATTGTGGGTGACATTGGTCGCGAAAGCCTGCTACGTGTTACACTGTTTAACAGACTGCTGCGGCGAGTGCTGTTATTCATTTGAGGCTGAGGCGACCTAGGGGAGGCCCACAACTGGTTTGGATATCCGCCACCGTTTTCGGTAGTAGGGAAGTGCCAAAGCTAAGACCACGACGCCACCCCCTGGGGGCCGTCCATAAATGACGTCACGCGATTTTGGACGATTTTTGACCCCCCCCCCCTCGTCACACGGCGTCACAAAAAGTCAGACCCCCCCTCAAATATGACGTCACAAAGCTCTGCCCCCACCCCCCGCAAAAAATAAAACATGCTTCAAATCGCTTTAAAGTATTGTCATTGTAGTGCGTATTTAAAGTGGCGCTGCACTCTGATGTTGTAGGAGAAAACATTAAAAGTCTATTTAATGAAGTAGAACGTGTTGTCTATATTTATTTAAAGTTGCGCATTTTGATGTGACGTCAAATTTCTCACCCCCCCCCCTCGTCACACATCGTCACAAATGTCTGACCCCCCCCTCCCCGCCAGGTGCGTGACGTCATTTATGGACTGCCCCCTTGCCCGCACACAATCCGCTGTGAATCGCTCGCCACTCCCGTGGCAATAACAACGAGATGTAAACCTCGATTTTCGAGAGCGAGACGCTGGGCAGAGACGGGGCCCACACACAGCAACTCGAACTCGGGCTCTGTTCCGCTGGCGTTTGTGTCTTGTAAATCGTTTAAGGACCTGATTCGACATCCATCTTTGTTTCAAAGTTGGGTTTGGCTTAAGTTTGTAACGGCGCTATAGAGTCGTTATATATTTTTGTGTGTGTCAATACGGAGCTGCTGAAGCCACCTTCTTAGCAGGGCCGCATCAAGGCACGGGGCGTTAGAGGCTGCAAGCCCAGGGGCCTCCAGTAATGAAGTGAAAAGTTGTTTCACTCGTGAATGCTGAACTTTATTTGTTGTTAGCCTTGTAAAAATAAATTTGAATTTTCGTCAACTTTTTCTTGGTTCTTTCGGTAAAGTCACGTAGAAGGGAAATAATAAAATTATAAAAATAAAACATAATAAAATTATTTTCACGACGTTTCGGCCACAACGCAGAAACGTCGTGAGAATTATTTTATTATGTTTTATTTTTTATTATTTTATTATTTCCCTTCTACATGACTTTACCGAAAGAACCAAGAAGATGAATCCCTGCAGTCACGAAAGCTTTAAATCGAAATTTCGTCAACTTTGTTTTCCTTTTTAAATCCTTTATATTAAGTTCACTTGCTTGCGCGCTTACGACCGTGCAAATCTTTCGGTCGTTTTTTAACCCACTTCCCGTGATCCAATCGAGCTGACATTTTGCACACAGACTCGTTGTGCGTGACAATTTATTTTCGTGAAAAAATGTTTCCAAAATTTTCCACTTTTTAGGAAAAAAATAATTTCATATATTATTTAAAATACCAATGTGATAAAAATGAAACTCTTACTCAAGAAAAACAGAAATGAATAATAAAATAAAACCGATGCCACGCATATAAAGGATTTATAGTGAAAAACTTTGTTTTTACGGGTTAATTTTTTTAAATATTACTGGTGGGGGGGGGGGGCTCACAGTACCTGTAGCCGAGGGGCCTACACAATCTTAACTCGGCCCAGCTTCTCAGCATAAACTTTCGCAACCTACAGCTCGGAGGTACAGTACAGCATACACAGGCACACGCATGCAAAAACTTTAAACCATTTACACTTGCATTTCACATAATAAGTAAGCGCATAAATTACAGTCATGTTAGTGTTTCATTTGTCAGTCTCGTCCGAGTATGTGTTATCGCTAGTCTATGAACTATTTAAAACCAAACAATTTATTTTTATTTTACCAGGTAAGGCCCACTGAGCTATAATATAAAACAAATCCAGAAGCTATCTGGCCACAAACGACAGCTCAAACGAAGTGGCTTATCACGTGGAAATGCATAGCAACCAAACACTCCAAACGCGTGTTGTTGATTTTAAATGAGGGAAAATCCGGAGGACCCGGACAAAAAAAATCCATGTGACCGCCACGGGGAGATGTACAGACTCCAAATATACAGCAGGCGTCAGTGTCGGGATCAAACCCACGACCTCCTCCATACCATTCTAGATTTGAAGCTTTCGTGACTGCAAGGATTCATATGCTTAGGTTTTTTTGGTAAAGTCACGTAGGTAAAAAAATTAAATTAATAAAATTAAAATAAAATAAAAATCACGACGTTTCGGAGGCAACACAAGCTTCCACCTGAAGACGGAAGCTTGTGTTGCCTCCGAAACGTGATTTATTTATTTATTTTTAGTTTACTTTTATTAATTTAAAATTTTTACCTACGTGACTTTACCGAAAAAACCTAAGAATATCCTCCATACCAGGCGAGGTAGTTCACATCTCGCCACTGGGGCACCACGACACGGAGGTGTTGCTTGTGGGGTCCCCGCACTAACTGCCTCAGGCTGGTTGTGTCTGTGTGACAATCGACGACCAACAATATTGGTGCTAATTGGTTTTTTAGCCTTCTATCTGGCAACAAAACTGACACCTTTTTACAAGGAGTCATGTTTGCATAGACCACAATGCCTGCAGTCATAATGCAAACAAAAAACACAACTCTGATAATGTGCACTGTCCTTGAAGTTGATTGGTCCACACCCGAGACAGCTTTCCTTAGAGCCTAGTCTCGCATGGGTTGGACCAGATGACGCCAAAAGGCGCACAACTCAAAGACAATGTACCATCAGAGTATGAGAGCTCGGGGTAAGCACCTACACCATTGGAACCTCATTTGCCTGTAAAAAATATGATAATTGGTTTTTTACCCTTCTATCTGGCAACAAAACTGACACCTTTTTATTGCCAGAGAGAAGGGTAAAAAACCAATTATCATATTTTTACTGGCAAATGAGGTTCCAATGGAATATTGGTGCTGCTGAGGCAGTTGGTAGTCCTGGTGTTGTCCTTGATGCCTCACTAACCTTTGAAGCGCACATTAACAAGGTCACTCAGGCTGCCCATTTTTTCTTCTTAGAAACAAACTAAACTATATATTTTTATTTTACCAGGTAAGGCCCACCGAGCTACAGTATATATAGGTATTTTTCAGAGGCAACTTGGCCACAAATTATAGCTCAACAAAGTGGCTTATCATGTGGAAATGTATAGCAGCCAAATACTCTAAACGCGTGTTTCTAAATGTGGAGGTAAAAACCGGAGGCCCTGGAGAAAAATCCACGCGACAACGGGGAAAACATGCAAACTTCAAATATACAGCAGGCGTTAAGTTCAGGATTGAACGCACGACCTCCTGTATACCAAGCGAGGTAGTTAACATCTCGCCACGGTGGCGCCCATATAGCCAAACTGTGGCCCTATAGTTTTACTATTGGGCATTGAGAAGCTCGCTCATGGCTAAGTTTTCTCTCGTTTTGTTTTCTGTCTAATATACTGCTGGCATCCCCGTGGTCTTTCTCGAGACACCTAGACCAAGTGAGAGACACAGTGAACTCTGGAGACACACAGACCAGGTGAGAGACACAGTGAACTCTGGAGACACACAGACCAGGTGAGAGAGACACAGTGAACACTGGAGACACACAGACCAGGTGAGAGACACAGTGAACTCTGGAGACACACAGACCAGGTGAGAGACTCAGTGAACAATGGAGACACACAGACCAGGTGAGAGACACAGTGAACTCTGGAGACACACAGACCAGGTGAGAGACACAGTGAACTCTGGAGACACACAGACCAGGTGAGAGACACAGTGAACACTGGAGACACACAGACCAGGTGAGAGACACAGTGAGCTCTGGAGACACACAGACCAGGTGAGAGACACAGTGAACACTGGAGACACACAGACCAGGTGAGAGACACAGTGAACTCTGGAGACACACAGACCAGGTGAGAGACACAGTGAACTCTGGAGACACACAGACCAGGTGAGAGACACAGTGAACTCTGGAGACACACAGACCAGGTGAGAGACACAGTGAACTCTGGAGACACACAGACCAGGTGAGAGACACAGTGAACACTGGAGACACACAAACCAGGTGAGAGACACAGTGAACACTGGAGACACACAGACCAGGTGAGAGACACAGTGAACTCTGGAGACACACAAACCAGGTGAGAGACACAGTGAACACTGGAGACACACAAACCAGGTGAGAGACACAGTGAACACTGGAGACACACAGACCAGGTGAGAGACACAGTGAACACTGGAGACACACAAACCAGGTGAGAGACACAGTGAACACTGGAGACACACAGACCAGGTGAGAGACACAGTGAACACTGGAGACACACAGACCAGGTGAGAGACACAGTGAACACTGGAGACACACAGACCAGGTGAGAGAGACAGTGAACCCTGGAGACACACAGACCAGGTGAGAGACACAGTGAACACTGGAGACACACAGACCAGGTGAGAGACACAGTGAACACTGGAGACACACAGACCAGGTGAGAGAGACAGTGAACACTGGAGACACACAGACCAGGTGAGAGACACAGTGAACTCTGGAGACACACAGACCAGGTGAGAGACACAGTGAACACTGGAGACACACAGACCAGGTGAGAGAGACAGTGAACACTGGAGACACACAGACCAGGTGAGAGAGACACAGTGAAGTCTGGAGACACACAGACCAGGTGAGAGACACAGTGAACACTGGAGACACACAGACCAGGTGAGAGAGACACAGTGAAGTCTGGAGACACACAGACCAGGTGAGAGACACAGTGAACTCTGGAGACACACAGACCAGGTGAGAGAGACACAGTGAAGTCTGGAGACACACAGACCAGGTGAGAGACACAGTGACCACTGGAGACACACAGACCAGGTGAGAGAGACAGTGAACACTGGAGACACACAGACCAGGTGAGAGACACAGTGAACACTGGAGACACACAGACCAGGTGAGAGACACAGTGAACTCTGGAGACACACAGACCAGGTGAGAGACTCAGTGAACACTGGAGACACACAGACCAGGTGAGAGACACAGTGAACACTGGAGACACACAGACCAGGTGAGAGAGACAGTGAACACTGGAGACACACAGACCAGGTGAGAGACACAGTGAACACTGGAGACACACAGACCAGGTGAGAGACACAGTGAACACTGGAGACACACAGACCAGGTGAGAGAGACAGTGAACACTGGAGACACACAGACCAGGTGAGAGACACAGTGAACTCTGGAGACACACAGACCAGGTGAGAGACACAGTGAACACTGGAGACACACAGACCAGGTGAGAGAGACAGTGAACACTGGAGACACACAGACCAGGTGAGAGAGACACAGTGAAGTCTGGAGACACACAGACCAGGTGAGAGACACAGTGAACACTGGAGACACACAGACCAGGTGAGAGAGACACAGTGAAGTCTGGAGACACACAGACCAGGTGAGAGACACAGTGAACTCTGGAGACACACAAACCAGGTGAGAGAGACACAGTGAAGTCTGGAGACACACAGACCAGGTGAGAGACACAGTGACCACTGGAGACACACAGACCAGGTGAGAGAGACAGTGAACACTGGAGACACACAGACCAGGTGAGAGACACAGTGAACACTGGAGACACACAGACCAGGTGAGAGACACAGTGAACTCTGGAGACACACAGACCAGGTGAGAGACTCAGTGAACACTGGAGACACACAGACCAGGTGAGAGACACAGTGAACTCTGGAGACACACAGACCAGGTGAGAGACACAGTGAACTCTGGAGACACACAGACCAGGTGAGAGACACAGTGAATACTGGAGACACACAGACCAGGTGAGAGACATAGTGAACACTGGAGACACACAGACCAGGTGAGAGACACAGTGAACACTGGAGACACACAGACCAGGTGAGAGACACAGTGAACTCTGGAGACACACAGACCAGGTGAGAGACACAGTGAATACTGGAGACACACAGACCAGGTGAGAGACATAGTGAACACTGGAGACATACAGACCAGGTGAGAGACACAGTGAACACTGGAGACACACAGACCAGGTGAGAGACACAGTGAACTCTGGAGACACACAGACCAGGTGAGAGAGGCAGTGAACACTGGAGACACACAGACCAGGTGAGAGAGACAGTGAACTCTGGAGACACACAGACCAGGTGAGAGACACAGTGAACACTGGAGACACACAGACCAGGTGAGAGACACAGTGAACTCTGGAGACACACAGACCAGGTGAGAGACTCAGTGAACTCTGGAGACACACAGACCAGGTGAGAGACACAGTGAACACTGGAGACACACAGACCAGGTGAGATAGACAGTGAACACTGGAGACACACAGACCAGGTGAGAGACACAGTGAACACTGGAGACACACAGACCAGGTGAGAGACACAGTGAACTCTGGAGACACACAGACCAGGTGAGAGAGACAGTGAACACTGGAGACACACAGACCAGGTGAGAGACACAGTGAACACTGGAGACACACAGACCAGGTGAGAGAGACAGTGAACACTGGAGACACACAGACCAGGTGAGAGAGACAGTGACCACTGGAGACACACAGACCAGGTGAGAGACACAGTGAACTCTGGAGACACACAGACCAGGTGAGAGAGACAGTGAACACTGGAGACACACAG